GTATAGTGTCTGAACGGATCAATATCTTTGATCAGATCAGCACTATACCAGCGTTCAGATTAGTATAGCATCCCCAAAAACACAGCGTTAGTGGGATCAGCCCCGGCACCTACAAGCACCTGCGTTTAGCCCCTACGCTTACCCCTCCTTCTCCCCCAGCAAGTGCAGTGTCAGTAGGTCACTGTCACGTGATACATTGCATACAAAACCGCAGTGTTCACAGAATCAGGCCTGATCAGGCACTTGCCAGTAAATTTTGATGACTCTCATATGAAGCAGAGTGCCAGTACTTGTGCCGCACTACCTTTTGGTGAACTGACGAGCACTAGCGGCCTAGTACATCTTGGTCTTTCACATACCTCTTAGATTGTAAGCTCCAAGAGCAGGGCCCTCCTAACCCTCTTGTATTGAACTGTATTGTTGCTGTATTGTCTCCCGTTATATTGTAAAGCGCTAAGCAAACTGTTGGCGCTATATAAATCCTGTATAATAGTGGCCAAAATGTCCAACGAAAGGTACTCTAGTGAAGAGGCATACAGGATTCTGGCCATGTCAGATGAGAGCAAAGGGGAAGCCTCACTGACAGAATCAAGCTCAGAATACGAACCTGTAGACAGCAGCGGCACCGCAACAGATATCTCAGATGATGGAGTAGAGGTCCCTGCTAAGGTCAGACGTACCCGACCTCATTCCCAAGTTGCTGAGGTGTTACAATAGCATGATGCATCATATGCAGCAGAGTGCCAGTACTAGAGCCGCTCTGCCTTTTGGTGAACTGGTGAGCACCAGCGGCCATCCTGGTCTTTTACATGTGGCACTGCAGTATCACTTGGTGACGTGGCAAGTCCCATAAGTGCAGTACAAGCTGGTGCTGTGGCTAGCAAAAGTAGTGTCCCGCAGCCACCAAGAATGCAAACACAGGCCCACAGAACCCCTAGTATCCTTCCGGATGTGCTTGCAAATCCTGAATGGCAGCCCACAAATTCTGTAGCACCAGTACTTCCCCCATTCACTGCCCAACCCGGAATTCAGGTGGAAACCGTAAATGTAACTAATACCCTTGATTTTTTGGAGCTGATTTTCACTGATGATTTGTATCATTTGATTGTGGACCAAAGCAATTTATATGCACATCAATTTATCGCCGCCAACCTAAATTCAAACCTTGCCAAGCCATTTTCATGGAAACCTATTACGGTTTCCAAATCAAAGTATTTTTGCGCCTAACCCTCTACATGGGCATTACTAAAAAGAATGAGTTGTGGTTGTGTCCATGACTATAAATTTAACATGGGAAGAGTGGACTTCAACAACCAAATGATGAAGCCATACTTAGTTTCCCATAAAGCCAGACGCTGGTACAAAAAGTGTCTGTATATTAATTTCAATTGGCTCTATACAAAGCTTATGTGTTTTACAAAGCAACTGAACAAAGTGGATCCTTCTTAAAATTTCAGGAAGAAATCATCACAGCTGTTTTGTATCCAGAAGGTGCTGTGGCCCAAACCCCCAACCCAGATTCAGTGAGCTGGCTGCATGAAAGGCATTTTCCTGATGCCATCCCTTATGCCCCAACCCAGAAGTTACCCCAAAAAAGATGTCATGTCTGTAGCAGACACCAAATTAGGCATGACATCCACTTTTTTTGTCCCTCCTGTCCTGGCCAACCTAGTCTCTCGGCAAGGTCTCAGCTGTGGGGTCTGACCTCAGCTCAGACCCCGCACAGCAGCCTGACCCGAGCGGGGAACGAGCACACACACCCACCTGGGTCCCGCGCCGGCCTTCTTGAGCCAGTGCAGGACACTTCCCGGTTGCCCCAGCAACGGCCGGCCCATCGTCGGGTTTCTGGGGCAACGAGGCACGCCCCCTGACTCTGGCCACGCTTTCGGGAGTGCAACCTTTGTCTCCGGCAGACGCAAAGCGAGGGAAACCTCATGCCCGCGCTGCGCCCGCCGGGGGGCACACAGAGACAGGTCGGCGGCACCGCGCCGGAACCCCAGGCGGGGGGTCACTTTCCCCCCAACCTGCGCAGCCATGGTTTAACATGGTCAGAAAGGTGGACTTAGCTTTTAAGTATATCAGAATGTGAGACCTTGCTAATTAAATGGGCAAAGAATTTTAACTGTAATATGCCATTAACCATTCACATTAAATTGTAATATACCATTAAAATTTACCATTCCTATTGCACCAATTTAAAGTAAATTAAGGCATTTTAGCTTACCACGCAAACTACATGCAGACAAGAATAAATACTAGGAAGTAATATCTTATTTTTCTAAATGTGAAGGCTGGGGGAAAGTAATACAGGATGAGTTAAAAGCTTTGTGGTGCAATAATTACTGAAAGAACTGGAAAATGATGCTCAAAACACATATATATATATATATAATTGCATATTTTGACCACAGTGTACCATTATGAGCACAGTGTACAGATTTTTTTTTAACTGATCACTGTATTAGTGTCACAGGCGTCAGTTAGCATTGCTCCCAGATAGCATCAGATTGCCCGGCACTACATCATTCATCACATTTAACCCTTTGATTGCCAGGAACATGCTCACATACACAATAAATCTCCATTGCTAGTATAGTGATCAATATCTTTGATCAGATCACACCAGCGTTCACAATAATATAGTGTCCCCAAAAACGCAGCGTTAGCAGGATCAGCCCCGACACCTGCTAGCACCTGTGTTTAGCCCCTACACATAACCCCCGTCTTCTCCCCCAGCAAGTGCAGTGTCAAAAAGTCACTGTCACTTGATACATTGCACAGAAAACTGCAGGGTTAGCAAGATCAGGCCTGGCAGCACAAGCAGGTGCTAGGCCTGATCTCTGCTAGCATTAGCAGGTACATTTTTTTGTAGCAGTTCAAGCAGTCCCTGACAGCCAGGTGCTCTTTTTCCCATGAGTTACACTAGGTACCTATAAATTTAGTGGCCAAAATGTCCAACGAAAGGTACTCTAGTGAAGAGGCCTACAGGATTCTGAGTATGTCAGATGAGAGCGAAGGGGAAGCCTCACTGACAGAATCAGGCTCAGAATACAAACCTGAAGAGAGCAGCAGCACCGCAACAGATAGCTCAGACGATGGAGTAGAGGTCCCTGCTAAAGTCATGCATACCTGACCCCGTTCCCAGGTTGCTGAGGTGTTACAATCGCAAGATGATTCTCATATGCAGCAGAGTGCCAGTACTAGTGACGCTCAACCTTTTGGTGAAATGGCGAGCACCAGCGGCCTAGTACATCCTGGTCTTTTACATACCAGCACTGCAAAATCACTTGGTGACGTGGCAAGTCCCATAGTGTTAGCCACCACACCAGTACAAGCTGGTGTGGTGGCTAACACAAGTAGTGTCCCACAGCCATCAAGAATGTGAACACAGGCCCGTAGACCCCAGAGTGTCCTTCCAGATGTGCTTGCAGAACCTGATTGGCAGCCCACAAATTCTGCAGCACCCATACTTCCCCTATTCACTGCCCAACCCCAAATTCAGGTGGAAACAGTGAATGTAACTATTACCCTTGATTTTTTGGAGCTGTTTTTCACAGATGATTTGTGTCATTTGACTGTGGACTACAGCAATTTATACGCACAACAATTTACCGCTGCCAACCTAAATTCAAACCATGCCAGATCATTTGCATGGAAACCTATTACGGTTTGTCAGGGCTCCCGGGTATGACCAGAGGTATGTGACTGACGCAGGGAAACGCAGACTTCAGATATGTTATAAACAATATAATTTATTAACACTAACAATACAAACATAAATGCAGTGCAATACTGAAACATAACACAGTGCAAACAAACCAAACCAACCACCCACAGATAACAGTACATACAATGCAAGCGCCGTCAGGCAGGCCGGGTCAATAACAATCGGGCAGGTAGGTACAGGGGGAGCAAGCGGAGAATGGTCGGGGTCACAAGCCAGGTTCAGCAGGTAGCGGGCAGCGTGGTACAGAGGGTCAGGCAGAGGGATGGTCAGGAACGAGCCGGGGTCAGAGCAGGAGAGGGTCAGCGTAATCAGAACAGGCAGAGTTTGGCAACAAGGAAACGTACTAGCAGGAACACAGGAACAGGAACAAGAATGCAGGATTACAAGATACAGGGCCCAGGAAAAACACACACACCAAGGCAAAGACTGCAGGTCTGGCCATCACTTAAATACACCTGCATAAGCAGTTTCAGGTGTTTGGCTGACTGCAGGGTTGAGTCTCTGATTGCTGGGAGCACCCGCTGGCCAGCCCTGGTACTGCAGCCCACAAGGCAGGTGAGTACCACCACTACTGGCAAGTCCATTCCTAACAGTACCCCCCCCCCCCTCAAGGAGCGGCCTCAGGACGCTCCAAACAGTCCTAGCTGGGCAAAATGTTCCACCGCCCGGGTCTGGTAACTGGCGGGATATCAAAGACTGGCACATCGGGCAGGACTCCGGGCAGCGGCACACCGGGCAGGACTCCGGGCAACGGCACTCCGGGCAGCAGCACATCGGGCAGGACTCCGGGCAGCGGCACATCGGGCAGGACTCCGGGCAGCGGCACATCGGGCTGGACTCCGGGCAGAGGCACATCGGGCTGGACTCCGGGCAGAGGCACAACGGGCTGGACTCCGGGCAGAGGCACATCGGGCTGGACTCCGGGCAGAGGCACATCGGGCTGGACTCCGGGCAGAGGCACATCGGATCACCAGGCGAAGCAGCAGGCACCGGGCCACCATGCGGAGCGACAGGCATCGGGCCCCCAGGCGGAGCGACAGGTCTTGGGCCCCCAGGCGGAGCGACAGGTCTCGGGCCCCCAGGCGGAGCAGCGGGCGCCGGACCCCCAGGCGGAGCGACAGGTCTCGGGCCCCCAGGTGGAGCGGCGGCGCGCGGACCCCCAGGCGGAGCGACAGGTCTCGGGCCCCCAGGCGGAGCGGCGGGCGCCGGACCCCCAGGCGGAGCGACAGGTCTCGGGCCCCCAGGCGGAGCGGCGGGCGCCGCACCCCCAGGCGGAGCGACAGGTCTCGGGCCCCCAGGTGGAGCGGCGGGCGCCGGACCCCCAGGCGGAGCAACAGGCACCGAGTCACCAGGCACGATAGTGGGCTCCGAGTCAACTGGCATGACCACGGGCACTGGGTCAGACATTGGATCATCTGGCTGGACAGCGGGCATCGGGTCACCAGGCATCCGGTCATTTGGCTCGACAGCGGGCACCGCGTCATCTGGCAAGGCAGTGGGCACCAAGTCACCAGGCACGACAGTGGGCTCTGAGTCAATTGGCACGACAGCGGGCACCGGGTCATCAGGTACCGGATCGTCTGGCTCGACAGCAGGCACCGGGTCATCTGGCGCTGGATCGTCTGGCTCGACAGCGGGCATCGGATCACCAGGCATGACCGCGGGCACTGGGTCATCAGGCATTGGATTGTCTGGCTCGACAGCGGGCATTGGGTCACCAGGTATGACAGCGGGCACTGGGTCACCAGGCATCAGGTCATTTGGCTCGCCAGCGGGCACCGCGTCACCTGGCAAGGCAGTGGGCACCAAGTCACCAGGCACGACAGTGGGCTCTGAGTCAATTGGCACGACAGCGGGCACCGGGTCATCAGGTACCGGATCGTCTGGCTCGACAGAAGGCACCGGGTCATCTGGCGCTGGATCGTCTGGCTCGACAGCGGGCATCGGATCACCAGGCATGACCGCGGGCACTGGGTCATCAGGCATTGGATTGTCTGGCTCGACAGCGGGCATTGGGTCACCAGGTATGACAGCGGGCACTGGGTCACCAGGCATCAGGTCATTTGGCTCGCCAGCGGGCACCGCGTCACCTGGCAAGGCAGGCAGTGGGCACCGAGTCACCAGGCACGACAGCGGGCTCTGAGTCGATTGGCACGACAACGGGCACCGGGTCATCAGGTACCGGATCGTCTGGCTCGACAGCACGCACCGGGTCATCTAGCGCTGGATCGTCTGGCTCGACAGCAAGCATCGGGTCACCAGGCATGACAGCGTGCACTGGGTCATCAGGCATTGGATCGTCTGGCTCGACAGCGGGCATCGGGTCACCAGGTATGACAGCGGGCACCGGGTCATCAGGTACCGGATCGTCTGGATCAACAGCGGGCATCGAGTCAACTGGCCTAATAGGATCATCAGGCTCGATCACTTCATCAGGCTGGGTAGAACATCATGCTGGGTAGAGGCAGCAGGCTGAATGGAGGCAGCAGGCTGAATAGAGGCATCAGGCTGAATAGAGGCATCAGGCCGGGTAGAGGCATCAGGCTGAATGGAGGCATCAGGTTGGGTACAGACATCAGGCTGGGTACAGACATCAGGTTGAAGTGCGGGTGCCGAGGCACCAGGCTGAACCACGGAAGGCCGGTTCTCAGACGGCAGGCTGACCGGTTTGGATACTGGCAGGATGGTACTGGTTGGAAAGAATTTTCGCTTTTTTCTGGTTTTAACTACTGGAGCACTGCAAGTAAACGCAGGTCTGCAAACGAATGGAGCAGCTGGAGACAGAGAAGAGCTGGAGGATGGAACAGGGGAGTGAACAGTTGCTACAGAGGACTTCTTTACAGGGTTAAAGAAAGGATAGGTGCAGCGAGTGGGAACAGGGTACTGACATGCGGTAGATAGCAGGGCAGGAGGAGCTGTTGGGAATGCAGGAATAGAGCTTTGAGGAAATAGATTAGAAGCAGGACTGGGTTTTTGCAAGCTGACTGAGGCTGGGTGCAACAAATCTGTCCATGTCTGCAGTATGGGTTGAACAAAGCTGAGCTTACACAAAGCCTGTCTGACCAAAGACTGCACTGCGTTTATACAATCTCTTAGTATCTGTGGTGAACATGCAGAATAACGCTCCAGAAAGTAATCCACATCATCCTCTAATAACCATACCAGGGACTCTACCTGGTCGGCACTAAATGGTGGCAAGAATTCATCCCTGCATTCGGGGGTACCAGATGAAACCAACTCCGCACAAACCTGAATCAATGGCTGCACCTCAGAGAATTCTGTGCCCTGATCTACTAGAACATGAGCGAGCCGTATACATTCTAGCAGTTCATCCCGGGGATACTCCTTCAGAGTCTAATAAGCATATTCTCTGTCATCAAACACTAGCAGATATAAATACACCACCTCATCAAGATCCATCCTTCCCATCAACAAACCAAGATGGCTTCCCTGTGCAGCCACTTCTGGTCAGGATTGGCCTTGGTGTAATGTCAGGGCTCCCGGGTATGACCAGAGGTATGTGACTGACGCAGGGAAACGCAGACTTCAGATATGTTATAAACAATATAATTTATTAACACTAACAATACAAACATAAACGCAGTGCAATACTAAAACATAACACAGTGCAAACAAACCAAACCAACCACCCACAGATAACAGTACATACAATGCAAGCGTCGTCAGGCAGGCCGGGTCAATAACAATCGGGCAGGTAGGTACAGGGGGAGCAAGCGGAGAATGGTCGGGGTCACAAGCCAGGTTCAGCAGGTAGCGGGCAGCGTGGTACAGAGGGTCAGGCAGAGGGATGGTCAGGAACGAGCCGGGGTCAGAGCAGGAGAGGGTCAGCGTAATCAGAACAGGCAGAGTTTGGCAACAAGGAAACGTACTAGCAGGAACACAGGAACAGGAACAAGAATGCAGGATTACAAGATACAGGGCCCAGGAAAAACACACACACCAAGGCAAAGACTGCAGGTCTGGCCATCACTTAAATACACCTGCATAAGCAGTTTCAGGTGTTTGGCTGACTGCAGGGTTGAGTCTCTGATTGCTGGGAGCACCCGCTGGCCAGCCCTGGTACTGCAGCCCACAAGGCAGGTGAGTACCACCACTACTGGCAAGTCCATTCCTAACACGGTTTCCGAATTTAAAGTATTTTTGGGCCTAACTCTCAAAATGGCCGTTTCTAAAAAGAATGAGTTGCAGTTGTATTGGTCTACAAACCCAATGCATCATATGCCTGTGTTCTCTGCTGCTATGGCCAGGCATAGATATAAGAATATAATGCAATTTATGCATTTCAATGATAGTACACTCTGTCGTCCTTGGTGTGACCCTGAATATGATAGACCCCTTGTAAATCACCTTAACCAGAAATTTGCAGATGTGTAGTTTTGGACTTGGTGTCACCCTTTTTCTATATGGGGTACCACTTACACGTGGACAATTTCTATACAAGCATGTCACTATTTATCAATCTTGGAATTGGCACATGTGGCACCATGCAACCTAATCAGCAGGGCTGCTCCCAATGGCTTGTAAATACCCGACATAGAAGGGGGAAGAAAGCCTGCTTGAAAAATGATGAACTGCTCAAAGTGAAGTAGGACAAAAGGGATGTTTTTGCCCTGTCTTCCATTCACGTAGACACGACCATCCAAATTTCCACAGCAGCTGTTGTTGTTGAGAAGCCCCTCTGTTTCCACGACTATAACCTTAACTTGATAAGGGTGGACTTCAACAACCAAATGATGAAGCCATACTGTCAGGGCTCCCAGGTATGACCAGAGGTGTGTGACTGAAGCAGGGAAACGCAGACTTCAGATATGTGATTAACAATGTAATTTATTAACACTAACAATACAAACATAAACGCAGTGCAATACTAAACATAATACAGTGCAAACAAACCCAACCAACCACCCACAGATAACAGTACATACAAGCAAGCGTCGTCAGGCAGGCCGAGTCAATATCAATTGGGCAGGTAGGTACAGGGGGAGCAAGCGGAGAATGGTCAGGGTCACAGGCCAGGTTCAGCAGGTAGCAAGCAGCGTAGTACAGAGGGTCAGGCAGAGGGATGGTCAGGGTCACAAGCCAGGGATCAGAACAGGTAGCAAGCAGCGTAGTACAGAGGGTCAGGCAGAGGGATGGTCAGGGTCACAAGCCAGGGATCAGAACAGGTAGCAAAGGAACAGAAACAGGATGCAGGACAGATACAGGGCCCAGGACAAACACAACACCAAGGCAGAGTCTGCAAGTCTGGCCATCCCTTAAATACACCAGTATCATCAGTTCCAGGTGTTAGCTGGCTGAAAGGTTGAGTCTCTGATTGCTGGGAGCACCCGCTGGCCAGCCCTGGTACTGCAGATCAAAAGGCAGGCGAGTCCCACCATTGCTGGCCAGTCCATTCCTGACACATACTTAGTTTCCTGTAAAGCCAGATGCTGGTACTAAAAAGTGTCTGCATATTAATTACAGTTGGCTCTGTACAACGCTTTTGTGTTTTACAAAGCAACTGGAGAAAGTGGATCCTTCCTAAAATTTCAGGAAGAAATCATCACAGCTGTTTTGTATCCAGAAGGTGCTGTGGCCCAAACCCCCAACCTAGATGCAGTGAGCCAGCTGCATGAGGGGCATTTTCCTGATGCCATCCCTGTTACCCCAACCCAAACGTTACCCCAAAAAAGATGTCATGTCTGTAGCAGACACCAAATTAGGCATGACATCCACTTTTTTTGTCCCTCCTGTCCTGGCCAACCTAGTCCCTGCCTCAAGGACTCCTTCTGTTGCTACCACACACTAGTGGAGTACTAGTATAGGGTACAGCATGGCACAGTCTAGGGCACATATTTACACACGGTCTCAAAAGATGTTAGGTAGTCAGGAAACTGGCTATCGCATTTTGAGAGACCATACAATTCTGGAAAGTTTACATTTCTTTAAAAAAAAAAGTTAAAAAATAAATTAAAAAAGTAAAAATTAAACAAAATAAAGTAAAAAAAAAAAAAAAAAATAGTTGACGTTTTATTGAGTTATTTTTTTATAGTTACTATTTTATTTTTAGCCATTGTTGTTTTCTTTGCAGGAATGCCATTCAGCACCGATCTGTTTACGTTAGTGTATGCATACTGTATATGCCCAAGCATGGTGGCCAGTTAGTGGATCGCTCCTATGCTTCAGCATTTATATTTTATAAATTTTTTGCACAGATTTCAGTAAAAAAGTTGTTGTTTTATTGAGTTACTATTCTATTGATACTGTTTTATTGTTAACCATTGTTTTCTTTGCAGGAATACCATTCAGCTGCAGCACCAATCTGTTTATTCTAAAAGCAACAGGCTGTGCTCAAAAAAAAAAAAAAAAAAGAACATTTCGTGTTTGCCCAACATTAGAAGTGGGTGGATGCATATACTCGGTAGAAGTAGCATAATGTGTTTTTGGGTGTAATTCCACATATATCATCATATCACGACTCGACTACTGCAACTCCCTCCTCACTGGCCTGCCTCGCCGCTGGCTATCCCCGCTTCAGTCCATCCTGAATACGGCTGCCAGACTCATTCACCTTTCCAACCGCTCCGTTTCCGCCACCCCCCTCTGCCAATCCCTCCACTGGCTTCCGATTGCGCAACGGATCAAATTTAAAATCCTAACACTGACGTACCACAAAGCTGTCCACCATACTGCCCGAACTACATCACCGACCTAATATCCAAGTACCGCCCAGCACGCACACTCCGCTCCTCACTAGACCTCCTTCTCTCTAGTTCCCTGGTCTCCTCCTCCCATGCCCGCCTCCAGGACTTCTCCAGGGTGTCACCCATCCTCTGGAACTCCCTTCCCCAACCCATCAGATTATCACCTACTCTCCTCTCCTTTAGGCGCACCCTGAAA